AAATAAAGTAAAATAAAGTAAAATAAAGTAAAATAAAGTAAAATAAAGTAAAATAAAATAAAATAATAAAAGCTGAAACTTCGCCAAATTTCTGTTTAGACAGAGAAACGGAGCTAGGAAATCTGATTTTGCCCCTCCCCCAAAAAAACTCCCCAAGTTTGCCTCCCTACCCAGCCAAGGTGTCAAAAAGCAGTTAAATGCCCGTCTATCACTTCGCCCGGCCACTTTTTTCCTTCTTCCTTTCGGGTTGATCAGCCCAATCCCAGTTTGTTAATTGAAAAGGAGTGGAAACCGCGCTTGGGTTTTTTTTTTAAACCCAAGCTCGAAGGGCGTCGTGTTTATTTGCTGTGGCCGAAGGGAGAGGCAGGCTCCCGCGTGGGTCTCCGTGGGACCCCCGGCAAACTGAAGAGCCAAGAAGGCAGGGGTGGGTCAGAGAGAAGGGAAGGTGGCGGGTGGAGAAGCAGCCATTCAAACTAAAGAGAGGGTGGGGGGAGAGGATTTAAACCCCCGCGGAACACGCGTGTAAATTCTTCCGACGTGATGAGGAAAAGAAGGGATGCAATGATTTAGGAGGAGGGAGACTGAGGTTGTTTATAATATTCAGCCTTGCGTTATTCCCTCCCCGTCCCCAAGTGCTAGTTTAAAAAAAAATTAATTGATTTTCTCTTTACATACAATATGTGCTTTTGATCGATTTCCCCCCGGAGTTCCCGAGGTAGATTTGGAAGCCGGAGGCAGAAAACTTTTAGACGCTGAAAGGCTGAAAAGTTCCCGGTCTTCCCTTCGATCTCCACTGAGAAGATCCATCCACTTCTCTCATTCCCTACTCCACTTCAGTTAAAAGCCAAAGGAAAATAAAAGAGAAAGAAAACAGGAGAAGGAAAACAGAAAATTAAAAGGGCAGAAAACATGAGCGATAGATGAAGATAGATAAATGGATGAATAGATAGCTAGATAGAAGAGAGAGAGTGGATGGATGGATAGGTGGATAGATAGATATATAAATGGATGGATGGATAGGATGGATAGATAGATAGATAGATAGATAGATAGATAGATAGATAGATAGATAACTGATACAGAGATAGAGAGACAGACAGATCGAAAGAGATTGCTTGCTAGCTAGCTAGCTAGTGATAGATACCAAAAGATAAATAGATAGATAGATGATGGATGGATAGATACGATGGTAGGTAGGAAGGTAGATAGATGATAGTCTCAACAAATTGAGAAATTATGAGGTGACAGAAGTTTCTCTTTTATGGCTATTTTTACCTAGCCTGTATTTTTTGGACCATCCCTTCTTATCAGCTTGAACTCATTTTTATGTTGTTGTTTTATTTTTACAAAGATAATCTGGTTTTCTGGTTTTAAAATCTAAGGCTTTGATGACTCCTTCATTCTCTTCCAATCTTTTGGGTGACTCACTTGCAGGGATTTCTCTCCCCCCCCCCATCCTTCCCATCTGACTGAAAGGCAAAAAAAAAATAATTGATTCATGTTTAGGATTATTTCGTTTTATACGGTCTTCATCTTTCTCATTGCGAGTTTCCTTTTACTCCTCTTCTCTCTCTCTCCTCTTCCAAATTAATTGAGTAAGCAGAATGAGAGAGATTGAGGTGCAGAGTCTCCGGTGCTTTTGCATCTGATATTTCCTAATGCCAAAAACAGGAGAAAAATGTGCCGGTTATTTTCCTTGTTTCCCCCTCCCCAATGACATTTTTTTTCCTTTTTTTTTCTTTTGCATATAAAAATTCCATTTCTAAATAAACAGTGTACTGTCTGGATACAAATAGTTTGAGGAAATAATAGCCATAAGGTTTACAATAATGTTCATTGCACTCACAATAATCATATGATAATATTTGCATATCCAGTTTTACAAACCTTGCTTATAACATTAAGGTAAAGGTAAAAGTTCCCCTCACATATATGTGCTAATTGTTCCCGACTCTAGCATTATAACATTATTATTATTATTCTCTATTCATTAAACATTAGAATTATAATAATATTTATTATTACATTAGTCCTTCTCTTACATTTCTAACTTCTGTTTTTATCAACTAATCATGGATAAAATGAATCCCATGCTAAAAACTATCCAGTTTCTTCCTTTTCCTTAATTTGAAGTGTTAGTCTATCCATTTCTGCGCATTCTAATATTTTTTTAATTACGTTTTCAATCTCTTCCCTTTTCCATTGTTGTGCAAATACAATTCTAACTGCCCCAAAGACATTTCAAAAGCAGGAAAAAAAACAACAACTAGGAAATGGCAGGAAGCTTGCAATAAACTAGTATAAAGAATTAGGCATGATTCTTTGCAGTAGTTTATTAAAATTAGATTTCCACAATGTTTCTGCTGTTCGTTGCATTTTTAGTGGAACTCTAGGATGGATTGTGGAATAAAGGAATGGCTTAAAAATTAACGCCAGAGTCCTGGGTCTTGATTTCCAAACCACTTGGGGATCTGATACCATGAACTGGTGCCATTATTAAGAGACCTTAAGAGAAAAACACTCTCTACAGGCTGTCTGGACCCTAAGGAGCAGAGTTTTAAAGAGCCCCCTCCTCCAATTTAGCCTTGATTGTATTCAAACCTACAAACCCACCAGCCAAGGATGAGAACTTAAGCTTGGATGCAGCCAGCATTTTCAAGTTATCTGCCAGTTTATCATCTCATCCATGCTGAAAAAACAACAATCCTTTAAGGTAGGCATTAAGCCAGCCTCAGACTGTAAAGGGGGGGGGAGCTATCCCCCTGTGTTTTCCTCTACATATAAGCTTTTTGCTCTACAGTATAGTCCTTTAAAAGTTTTTTTTTTTAAGAGACCGGACAGCCTTTTTTATCCGGAATAACCTGGGGGCCTCCTGCTTGAGCAGGGGGTTAGACTAGAGGACCTCCAAGGTCCTTCCCAATTTCTGTTCTTCCCTAATTTGGTCACAAATCAGCAAAATAAAATCTGAACTCAGACAGGGAGTTCACCAGAAGAGGGAATTGAACACAACTGATCTCTTTCGAAATCTGAATTTTGCTGGGTTTTTAAGTGCAATCCCCACCCCCACCCCAAAAGAGCAAAATAAACTGATACTGTAGACCCTCAACCAGCCCTCTTGGGGGGTGGGGGCTGCAAAATAAAAAAATAAAGAAAAAGAAAAAGACAGTTCAGAGGGGGCCATCCATACCATTTAATGAGTTGACTTAACCTGCCCATTTGAGTAAGAATAGACTCACAAAAGATAAGGCTGATTGGTTTGGTGGGAAGCCATTAGCTTTGTCTTTTGAGTTGCTAAACAGCCAGCCCTGTTAGCTCCTCCTTCACTCTGGATGGAGTTGCCTGTCTGTCTTTGTGTGTGTGTGTTTTTAAATGCTTCTTAGAGGGTGGGGCTCCAAAGTCAAGTTTTGAAAAAGGCCCATTTCAGCTGGAGCTGCAAAGCTGGAAAGCATTGGCTACGTTGGGCGAGAAAGGAAGATCCATCAGATGAGCTCCTGGTCTTCTCCAAGCCTTCCCACCATTTCTGAGCTTTTCTTGTTCTTCTGCTCTCCATTGGCCAGGCTGTTCTCCACCTCTGGCCCCTTGGGGTGGGCACCACCAATTTCCAGCTGCCCTTCGATGCTGAGTGGCCGGGATAAGCCTGAAGATTGTCTTCTCAAAGTTCATTGAGGGCCAGAAGGAGCATCACCTTGACTCCAACCCAAAGAGAAGAACTTGGAGGCACCATTTCTCTGAGCATGATGTCCTACATCAAGCAACCACATTATGCCGTTAACGGGTTAACTTTGGCTGGACCTGGGATGGATTTATTGCATTCAGCGGTTGGATACCCCAGTAAGTGAATTTCTTTTTTTCCCCCTCCCAATATATATTCCCTTTATTGTCATTGTACAAAATAAACACAATGAAATTTTCTTGTTTTAGTCTTTCAGTATTGTATGGATGATCAGGTTCCGGATATTGGGAGTCAATGCGGTTAGAGAAGGAAGGAAATTCTGTAAATGTTCACAGACCATCCCCTCCTTCGAAATTCCTGCACCGCTTTATTTCATATTGAATAAATGAAAACTATTTGTGGGGGGGGGGAGGAGAGAGCTAATCACTTTTAAAAGGATAAAAAAAGTTCCCATTTCTTCATTCAGAGAAACTTGAAATTGTAAACTTTGCGCTTTCGTTAAAGAATAAAATAAAACGTAGAATTTCTCTAATTCAGAAGATTTGGGTTGCTCTTTTGTAAATAAAATTACGCAGAAGAGTTTCAAGAGTTGTATTCCTTTTGTGAATAGAATAAAAATACCCGTCCCCAATCCGCTCTCTTTCAGCTGTACCAGAGTTTTCAGGAATGTTGATTTTTTTAAAAAAATATGGCTGTAATCTATTGGTTAGCTCATTACTTTTCTGTGGCTTTCAGGAGGAAAATTACAGTTCAGTTTACACCTTCCCCCCCTCCCCACATTATTCTCACCTAGAAAATCCTGAGAGGAATTAGAAGTTAGGGCAAGAAAATCGGAAGGCAAGATTTAGAGTAGTAAGCAAATAAATCAGATTATTTTTTTTATCAAACGGGACAGCTTTAAGATGTGTGGACTTCAACTCCCAGAATTTCCCAGCCAAAAAATAATGAAATTATTTCTTTATAAAGGGTTTTTACTGCTTTAGGCATAAAAACACCTATTTCTATCTTGGCCGGGGGGGGGGGGGAGGAGAGAAAAGAAAATGATAATATATCAAGCAGTTTGTAACAAAGTAGAAACGTTACAGAATTCAAAGTTTGCAAAGCCGAATGTAACACAATTTGTAGTATAGAATAGTAATGTAGAAGGTGTTTGTTGAAATAAAACTAAACTGGCTTGTTTTTTTTTTCTGTCCAGAAAAAAAAAAATGGCAACTGGGGGAATTTATTTTTTTTACAATTCAGGATCATGTTAAAAGTATGGTGTCCCGTCCCCTGTTCCCCCCCACCCACCCAGCAAATGTGAATTTTAAAGCCAAAATTTGCGATTGCCTCCATAAATATAAAGGCGCATTTGAAAAGGGCTGAATATCTAAGACTAAATAAGAAATGACCAAGAGGTGTGGGGTTTTTTCCCCCCTGGAATATATTTTTATTATACCCATTGCAATTTGAAGGAAGCATTAAAGTAAAACAATCCATAATAATCAGTGAGGAAGAACAGAACAAAGATTCTGAGAATACTTCAGCTAAATTATGCTTAACTGTGTTTTTTTAAAAATCTATTAATGCTGTTTATTTGGTCTCCAATTCTTTCTTGATTCCATTGTGCATTTCGCTTTCATTACTGCATTCACCGTTCTGCAAATCAAATATACATTTAATAATCTTTTCCCCACACTTCCTCTGAGGAATTCTGTGTACGTACCTGGAATTTCCGATAAAGTTTAGCAATTGCCACGCTACGGGTTGAGTTGAAGCCCTTAACTTTAGTTTAAAATCCCTCTCCGTTTTCCTAAATCAAAAACAAACATTAACAAGCAAAAATCAGCAGAGAACATTTCACTTGATATTTCACATCCAGGGAGCAAAACCAGCCAACTTTATTGATTTATTGATAGCTGTTCTGATGTCATAAAGATCATCAATATAACCCACTAATATCCATGGGAGCACAGATCTGATATTTAGAGGGTAATGATAAAAAAAATCCTACTTCAACTCTGTTGCCTTCTTAATTTTAAATTCTTGTGCAGGAATTTCAGCCTATCTACAGCCTTGGGAGCCTTTAATAATCTTTTTTTTTTTGGTCTTTTATTAATCATCTTTAATGATGTGTAATCATTTTTTATTCCCACCTGGCCTCTGAGCAATTAGGGGAGACTTCAACTCCCAGAATACCCCAGCCAGCTTTGGGAATTCTGGGAATTGAAGTCTACCAAAGTGGAGAAATACAGCAGACAACTAAAAATTAAAAAGCAGCAACTGAGTTTGATCTATTTTAACAATTCTGGTAGTTTGTTCACCTTTGGCTTGCTAACAAATCCATCCAGGTGAGTGGCGCAGTTTAAGCCTTAACACTTTTTAAGTGGTTGTGTGTACCGCATTTAGCTGATCTATGGCTAAATACAGGTAGTCCTCAACTTAGAGACCACCATTTCTGTGGCTAAGTGGGACAGTTGTTAAAAGAGAGCTTTGCCCCATTTTACGACCATTCTTGCCACCATTATGTGAATCCATGCAGTCGGTAAGTTAGTAACGAGGTTGTTAAGCGAATCCGACTTCCCCGTGGACTTTGCTTGTCAGAAGGTCACAAAAGTGGATCCTTGGGACACGGCAACCGTCATAAGTGTGAAGCAGTTGCCAAGCGTCTGAATTTTGATTCACAACCAGCTAGCTTTGTAGCTAAGAAAGGACGAGAACCCATGGTTTCCTGGTGTCTCATCTGGCGCCTTTAACCCCACACCAAACTGACTCTCCCTGACCACTATCGTGGTTAAAGTTTGCATTTTAGAAGCTGGTTTAATCCGCTTTTAAATCACTAAGCAGGTGATGTAAGAATATTCAATATTTGTAGCTGTGAAGAATATTTGTAGCTCAAGATTGAAGAGAAGGGAAAGGAGAGGAGGAAGGAAGGAAGGAGAGAAGAAAGAGAAGAAAGGGGGGTAGGAAGGAGGGAGGGAAGGAAGGACAGAAAGTAGGAGAGAAGGGAGGGTGGATGAGGGAGTAAAGGCAGGGGGAAAGGAAGGAGAGAAGGAGAAAAGAAAGGAGG